GGTTCGAGTCATTTTTGGTTCTTGTGTTCTGTCCGAGTCGAATTCCAAATTTTTAGTAATTTTTCGAGCCAAAATCAGTATAGTTCAAGTTATATCAGTTAAATTCGGACTGAGTATAATTTTATATCGAACCCTTAGAGTTTTCTAATTAATCCGAATGAGTTAAAAATTAAAAACAGAGCATCTTAGCATTTTATTGAGTATTCTGAGCATAGTACTTAGTATATTAATTGTTTATATTTTTATACAGTTTGACAAGACAGTTTTTCAAGTTCAGCACTGCCATTTTCAGTTTCACAAGTACAGGTGGGAGCCCAGACTGGGTATTACATAGACTATAATATCTGATATCATGTCTGAGGTGTGTATATATATATTAAGTTTATCGCTTAGGGCGGTGGCCGCTAGTTGCCTTAATATTCCACTAGAGTGTGCACATGGTTGCCGGCCGAGTTTTCAGATTGCCGGGAGATGAAGTTACAATACAGTTTCAGATTCAGTTTATATATGCTGACGATCATGATATTGTTATTATTATTGATGTTTACTTTAGCATGGGTTTCTGCGGAGCATTTTGAACTTTCGTGCTCACGCCCCACTATTATTTATTTTATTTATTTATTTATTTATTTATTTTCAGATGTTCGGGTCGGGCCACAGGCGTGAGTTCAGTAGTCGTGGTGGTGGTCGTGGATTCGACTCAGCTGGCCGTTTTGTGGACTTTTGTATATACTCAGTCTGTATATATTTTTGCCACGCTTTACATTTCCGCTGACGTTATTTTCAGTATCAAACTTGCATGCTAGTTTTCAGATTTTATCAGATCTCTTAGACAGGTTTGGTTGAGTTACATGCTGGTTTGATTAGATTGTACATATCTGTTTTTTTTTTATTTCTAAACCAGTATTTAGACCAAGTTAAAGAAAAACAGATTTTCAGAATAGATAAGTTTAATAGCATCCCGAGTTAAGTTAAATGATTTTGAAAAAATTTATATGTATTTTCGAAATAAGTTGCAAAAATTTTACTTTGATACTAGTAAGTTAGCGGGGTGTTACATATAGTCTAAGTNAAAAGGATTAGAGCTAGATCATGTGGGAGCACGTGAGGGGGTTATGGGGCCAAGTATGGGACTTGACTAACTCCCCTTGTCGGTTCGGATAAGGTTGACTGTGGATGAAACCCTGTTTATAGGTTTAAGTAATCGCGATGACTCGATTCGACGAGGGACACATGTAGGCAGTGCATGGCCAATGCGCACAAGGGCTCGGTCCGAGTAAGTTTGTTGGCTAGCAAAGATAACGTAGACAAGACTTGGGCATAGCCCAGGGCTAGGTTACGCTGTTTGATTCCAAAAATATCGGGATTCGGTCCCATGCGGGCGCGTGGGAAAGAAGACAACTCGGGCGACGCACCCCGAGTTGATTTATCCGAAAAAAACCGTCAATTCGGATCGCGGATCGGTTAAATGGTCAGTTAAAAAAGTCTTAAAAAATCTGGTGGTTAAATAGCCGGTCCGGTTAACGGATTACCTGCGGCAAATTGCCGGTTTAACCGGACCAGACCGATAAATATTAAAAAACTATAACAAATATATATATACATTTAGTCATTCACTATGGCCGACAAATACAATACATTCACTATGAATGCTTTGCTCTTATTATTTCAGGTGAACTGACTGAAAAATGAATGTTTGCTTGGTTTCAGTTTTGCATAATTTAATCTTCATCATTTTTGTATTTTTATGTTTATGGGGCGAAATGTGTATTTTTATGCTTATGGGACGAATTGTGTATTTTTTATTTCATTATTGTTGTTTTTTTGAATTTTTAGGCCAAATAATCTCTTTTGGGTCCAAAATTGAAAAATAAAAATTAAGCCCAAAATGAAAAAAAATAAAAATTGAAGGCCCAAAACAAGGATTTTGGATTTAAATGGTTAACCGCCAAACCGGACCGTCCAATGCGGTCTGGATTGTAGTCGATTAAAAAATAAAACTGGTCCGGTTATGGACAAGAAAAAAATTTAACCGTTAAGTCCGGTTTGGTCATGGTTTGGGTTAAAACCGGACCAATCCGGACCGTGAACACCCCTAGCAAGTAGGAGAAACTCGACAATAGGAGCTGACCAACGGAAGTCAATGGAGCGAGATGATTGGCAGCCCAAGATTATAGGGCACGAATACGACCGAGTAGGTGAGCGTTCCTTAAGGTTCACAACGGACTTGACCGTATTGCGGCAACCTGCAGAGTCAGCCTTGATCGTGTGGTGGCGGCCCATAGGGTTCGCTATGGCCACTAGACCATGTGTCTGCTTCCTTTAGGGTTCAGAACAACCTTGAACCCAATAGTAGAGAGGAGGTTGGGGAGGTGATTTTTGGGATTGATCCCAATAGTGTTTTGGGTCAGGATGGTTTTTTT